AGAGGTATCGATCTCAAATTTGGTATGTAGATAGAAGGCGGTAAGGACTATCACATATATTCCGGTTTTTCGAAATTCAAAAAACTTTTTGGATTTTTTGGCTATTATATTCAAAAAAGCTATTTTTTGATTTTTGGGGGTCAAAATCCAAAAATTTCAAAAATCCGAGATGACAGTTTTGTAGCCCTGTCCATTCTACAGCTTTTATGTCTGCATCATTTTTCTGTATTTGCAAAGCTATAGGCCTGACAGCTCTTCCCGCGAAACCCTTTTTTGGGTCGAAAACGGCAGAACATGACGTCACTCTGACGTCATTTCCGGCCAACCTATCATAGCCTTTGGAAAAAATTTTTTTGTCACAATGTGGAAAATTGATGTCCGGGAGGGTACTGAAAGTTTGGTGACGATCGGCGCAGTGGTTCTGGAGATATATCGAAAAGTCTGGAGGGGGGCAAAAAATAGCCCCCCCCACCAGGGCGCGGGCTAGGAGAGCGACTACACAGTGAACACACCAGGTCTGCCTGCGGCCATGGCGCCCAATGACCACCAACAATCAGTCCGGCCCCGGGAAACTCTGCCTGTGCCGTCTGCAGCATCACAGTGAGTGGCCGGCCTATTCTCCACTGACCCATGAGATATTGGCTACGTTTCCATGGCACAAGTTAAGCCGATTTTGAAAAATGGATTTGCTCCATCATAGCATTTAGGCATAATGTAAAAATGTAAATATAGGATTAGGTGCTAGCTAAAACCATATACCTACGCTCATTTTTTGCATAAGGTAAATAGTTTCCGAGAAAAACGCACGTGAAATTTCGCTAAATCGATTTAGACGTGTCATGGAAACGCAGTGACTATCTCACCAATTTCCTAAGAGGCTCGTCCAAAAAAAGTCCGTAAAGAGAGATGGTTAACCCTCGCACCGACGGGGGGGGGCGGATATCGGCCCCCCCCTGAGGTTTTTCGCGAATAGCGGGAAAACCGCGGCGCGTAGCGCCGCGAAATTTGGTATGACTATAACCTCATCAATTTTACACATGGTGTGCAAGTTTGAACCTCCTACCTTTTAAGGTCAGGTCACCAGGTCACTTTGAATGACCCAATCTCAAGTCACTTTTTTGCAACTTTGTCACCGTGCCAGAGCTACAGTAGATGTCGGAGGCCTTTGAAAGTCGCAGGATATTATTAGGTCATTAGTAGCTACAATTTGTATATCTCGGAATTTTGATATCGGTGACCTAAGGTCAGGTCAATTTCGCGACCTCCCCATTATAAGTCAATGGGGGAAAAATGAACTCCCTGTTTTTACCACTAAAACGGGTCGGAATGGCCCATACCATACATGACTTCATATACGATCAACCTTCACTACCTTGAGGTCTGTTTTGCTGTTGGGCAGCTGTGAGGTCATGTGACGTCATCAAAGGTCACCAAAGGTTTTTGGCCAATAACTCCGTACAGGAACAAGATAGAGACGCGTGGATGGTCTCATTGTGTTCAGCTCGTCAAGACGCATCGAATGATATACATGATGACCTCGAGGTCACGTGACCTGAAGTCAACCTTTGACCTTGACCTTTCGAGGTCAACATATATATCAATCGATGCGGATTGACGAGAGGATCACGATGATGCCCTTAGTTTGTTCCTATCTTGACTAATTCGAAAGCTATTCGAGAAAAACTCTCTCCATATCTAGCGCCGCCATTTTGACTTTTTCGACCCCTGTGACGTCATCTTTGACCTGACCTGAAAATGACCTTGGTAAAAATTGTAGATCTTGGCCGTGCGTATCCGATGCCGTTTACCGCTTGTCGCTATCTTGCTTCGTTCTCGAGATCTCAGCCCCCCCCCGTCGGTGCGAAGTTGGCGCAGACCCCCGTCGGTGCGCGGGTTAAGTGCAAACAGATGAACGGCAGAAAAACGGGTCGGTTCCGGTACGATATATGTACAATCACAATCTATTTTTATTTGAAGGTCTACACTTGAATCTAGTTAAAGTGACCATCCCATTCCCACCTGAACATTAGTTTTTAGTTGACATAGCCAAATTTGAGTCCCTGGTTTGCACTTAGGTACCAGTTTGGAACTGGCACGTTGTGCCAAATGCTTTAATTCGGAAATATTTAATTTTGAAGTCTGCAGTTTTTGGATTCTAAGGGGCTAATGCATATGCCCCCTTAGACTGCGTGACGTCAGCGCAATTTGCCGCTGGTGTTCGAACGCCACTATACAGGTGCAGCTGCCTTCGCCCCGCCTGGCTTAGTATATGTATCCGCGGTAGTCGCAGTCTCTGTGCGTTGCGCGGGTGTCACGTCCGTGGTCTTTCGCGTTTTCAAAGCATTCAATAGATATGCAGTAGCGCAGTGCAGCCAATACGAGAGAGGACACGATCGGTATCAGCGTGGACGGCGGTAACACGTGCTTCGTGTGGTTGAGCGCCAATATCGATCCCGTGCACTTTGACACGACATGGCTGACAATTGACATGGCCATGATACGTCAGATGTCTGTCCATAACGAGGCCGATATTTTTGACAGATTCGAGCTCGTGAACAGTTGCACCGGCGAAGCGAATGCTAACAGAAGGCAGTCCTTTCAGCATCTGACGTGTTACGAGTACAATCATTTGAGTCTTTGACGCGTTCACTTTCATGTTGTTTGAACAAAACCAAGCAAACATTCTCGTCAGAGCCGCTCCATTCTCAGGATTATTAACCCTCGCCCCGTGGGGGGGCCATTTTGGCCCCCCCTGTGGTTTTTCCCGAATAGCAAGAAAACGGCGGCGCGCAGCGCCGCCAAATTTTCAGTACCTTCCCGGGCATCAATTTGACACCTTCACACCAAATTTCAAGTCTTAGGTCACCTTAGGTCAGGAGTTATTGAGGTCAAACTGAGGTCATGTTCGAGCAAAAATGAGCAAAAAAACATGCTATCTTGAAACGCTCACCAAATCTACAGTTATCAAGCAATTTCAAAGTTCTTTATATGGTCTAGTAGACAAAAAGCGGCGCTACAAAACTGCTATCTTGGATTTTCAAAATTTTGGGTTTTTGACCCCAAAAAAATCAAAAAATTGATTTTTTTTAGAAAAACTAAAAAAATCCAAAATTTTTCCGAATTTCGAAAAACTGGAATATATGTGATAGTCCCTGCGCTCTTCTATATACATACCAAATTTCAGATCGATATCTTGTTTTTTGGCCAAGTTATAGCGAAAAAAACTTCAAAAATGATGACGTCAAATTTTTGAACTCAATTTTTAGCGATTCTAGACCACTTACGGCAAAACAAAGACCACCATTGAACTCCCCGTGACGAGCTGCATCGATTCGATACCCATTTTATGCAAAAATATTAACTTTGCAATTTGACCTAATTTGACCTGACCTTGACCTGACCTTGACCTGACCTTGACCTGACCTTGACCTGACCTTGACCAAAACGTGACCTAAGCTGGCCCCAAAGGCTGCCTGACCCACATAATCGCATTCGTCATGTAAAATGGACCATAAAACATGTATCACACGACACTTTCATATTGTGACCCCCCCGTGACCTGACCTCTGTGACCTGACCTGGTATCAGTGACCTCAAATAGCAAAATATGTGTTTGAAGAACATTTCCCCATCGATGATTTTCAATGAAATGCATTTTACTCGATTGTACAACGCATTTCTTGAAATGCCTGTAAACGGTGAAAATTGGACCTTTGACCTGACCTGTGACGTCATCGGTTTGACCTAGGTCAATAAAATTGGGTCACAAGGTAGTTCCCTGATAGGGCTATCCAACACCGTTTGCCGCTTGTCGCTAGGTTGCGTGGTTCTCGAGATCTTAGGGGGGGGGGGCCAAAATGCCCCCCCCCCCAACGGGGCGCGTTGCTCGGCAGAGCCCAACGGGGCGCGGGTTAAGCCAGCTAAGTCAGCTTTTCTACCACATACTAAGATCTGAGTGTCATCGGCAAACTGTACGATCGTGACATCAGGGACGTGGAGACACATATCGTTTGCGAAATGGAGAACAGCAGACAGCTGAGAGATCCCCCCTGGAACACTCCCGATTCTATTGGCAGAGACTTTGAGAGAATGACAGACCCGTCAGCGCAGCGAGCTCTAACCTGCTGAGAATGACCTTGGAGATAGTGCCTGGGCCATGCAGTGTCTATGTTGTACAGGTGAAGTTTTTCTTACATATTGAAACATTTTGACAGGTCGAGTAGCACGAGAATGGATATCTCTCCACTGTCCATTGCCTTGTATTACACTGTCGGTGATTACCGCTAACGCCCTTTCCGTCGAACGACCGCGCCGATAGCCATGCTGTGCGTCTGTGAATAAATAGCTCATGCTCCTCGAAGTACTCAGTAACCTGGCACTGCACCAATCGCTCGAAAATTTTCATGACACTAGGTAACATAGAAATCGGTCTGGTCTGGTCGTACAACCGGTCGGTAATGCTTCACACACATTGGCAACACCATCTAAGATATGAAATTGAATATCATATCACTCAGCCCGCAGTCATGTCGGGCGTAAAGCCTGCGAGAACTCGGTTTGAAGGGCCTCACGAACACGTAAATGCACCGAGACGGGAAATGACTTTGGCAATGGTCACACGTTTAGCTGACATTTAACGTTCGTGTCTGATGGCAACTTTCACTTCGCCAAACATTGTACAAATTCCCATGCACTTTCATCGGGTTGTGCACATTTCACATCGTCTACTACGTCTGCGCAAGTTTCTCATAATTTCGCCGCGCGTGCAGCCACGCTGCTGCAAGCGCCCGTCTGGCCCGTGTAGCGCCGCAACGGAGACGGTGCCGCCCGAGTGGCGAGTCAGCACTTCTCAATGACGCCACGTGCAGGTGCGATGACTTAGGAACGCCGAAAATAATGACAGCAAACACAGTGGCGTCGGGAGCCGACCTACCCCAACGGACCGGCGCGGCGTCCGGCCGGCGCGGTGGACAGATGACTGGCAAACAGCCGCTACTCACACGATATGGGGACAGTGTGGAGATGGCACAGCACGGAACTCCGCTGCCTTCAGACGGTCACCCTCAGCGCAAACATCACTGGCACTAGGTTAACGCCTCTCTGCAGCTCTCAGCACACCATCCGCGACCCGAGGATTCCCACCGGACGCGTCCCGACCACTCCCCGTACTCTCGCGGCCCAAACTGAGCCGCGCGGCGGCCGTCGAGGGCGTGCGCGGCGCACTCGGCCGCGGGGTCGCCGTCCCGCCGCGCCGGTCTCCCGTTAGGTTAGTGGACTGGGGAGGCACCGCACCCAGGGAGGACGGCAGCCGGAATGCGCTCGTGCTGCAACGGTGAGAACAGAAACGTGCATGCCATGGAGTCGTGAGGAAGCTAAAATGCGCTGAGGTCAGGTGTGAAATAATAAACTTACCTACTGCAGCCGCCGATTGCTGGAAATAACTTATCAGTTTTGCGCTTATTTATTCGTTTTTTTTTTTAATGCCGCGTAAAACGTGTCTGAAAAAACGTTCTGAAATACGGATCTATTTGCTGGACCAACCGAGGAACTTCCTGCCAGGGCCTAGTTATGTCATATATTTAAATGTATTTTTTATTTAGGTACTGTTGAATGTTGATTCATATTACAGTCGAATTACAGCACATTCGACGCGTCTCGACGAGAGAAACACCGAACACGATGTCGGTAAAATAAACGTAATGTCGGCTTAGTGTTAATCCTCGCCGGTCCTATTGGTTTTCTACATACACCGGCCCAGCCGAGGGGAAGGGGAGGGGGGAGGTATGTACATACGACCGCCTCGCCGTTTCGCCACTAATGGAGCTAGAGCATCGCGGAAAAATGAATGTACTCACCGTTATGAGACGCAGCGGTTGCTACCCGATTTTATGTTCTCAGGTCAACCGGTGACCTCTGGGTTCAGGTCAAGTGGCCCAGGGCACGAGTTTATTTTTGGTAGCTAACCGAAAAAGGTTGCAGAGCAGCAATTTTGGCATCATCGTGCTTTCTAGCCCGGACGCGTCGAATGGTATACTATTTGTTCGGGTGAGGTCAACCTAAGGTATTGAACTCAGGTCAAGGTCAAGTCAGAGCACCTTAGGTTACGTAGCTGGTCGAAGGAAGTCATATCGCATAGCATCCGATTTGGCAGGTCTTGCCGAGTTCATTGGTGGCTTTCTCGACTCGCCAGCTCAATTAGATCGGAAGGTATTGACGAAAAGCTTATATGATCTCAGTGAAGTCATAAACGACGAAATGCAAGGTCAATAATGTAAAATTGAATCGTCGTGTACCTTGCAAGGAGTGCATGAATTCACGATTCCGTCGCTTGAGATAGCTTTAGCTCATTCCCGACGCCAAAATAACAGTTTCTATAATTCCCCATTGACTTATAATTTATGGTGAGGTCACGTGACCGACTTGACCTCATGTCATGCAAACGTCAAGGTCAGGTCAACAAAGACGAACTATAAAAAGGATATGTGCGACGTCTTATGGGTAATATTATTCATAGGGCATACTCAATTAGTGATATGGAGATGGATCATATTTTGATGACTTTTAGGCCGAGGTCAGGTCAAGGTCAATTCAAGTGAGGACAAAATTTGAAGGTAATTGTGAAGACCCAAAAAGGTGTTGATCTGATGCAGTTTTCACCAGAAATCGAATAGTCCTATTTTAGATCCCTTGTGAGGTGTAGAATTTTGTTTGGTGCCCCGTGACGTCATTAAAATTTGAATACCTCCTCACTCCACCTTTTTACACTCCAATTTTTAGAAGAATCGTTCAAAAAAATAAGTCCGTCAGCAGGCTCCCCGCACTCTACTGGGCTAGGGGCTGTGTGTGGTACGATGGACGGCCCCCCATCAGTTAGCACTTTGCCATGGCTGTCACAGCTTCAACTGTTCCCTGCAAACAAAAATGGCAAAAGCCAAATGGTTCTATGTCTGTGCACTTTAGGTGCACAGAAAACTGTGCACTATCATGACTCATGGCCTGCGGCGAGGTGCGTAAAAAAACTGTGCACTACAACAGGTGCACAGAATAAAATTATTTGGCTTTAGCTAATTATTTTTGCAGGGAACAGTGGTTGAGGCTGTGACAGCCATGGTATTTATAACGCTACTAATGGGGGCCGCCTATCGTACCACACGGCACACAAAACCCCTTATAGCCCAGAAGTGTGGGGAGCCTGGTAACTGATAATACCCAATGCACCCGCCCATGCCGATATGAAATAATGATAAAGTACTGCACAGTGCACAGTGTACAGTGCACACCCGCAGGTGATCATTGGCTGGCCGCCGCGGCCGACCGCGAAATGACTCACCGACCCTGTCACCTGACCGTGACGGCGGTGTCAACGGAGCTGTGACACGCGGTGTCAGGTCAGTTGACACGGAGTGTCAGCTGGCCCACCGACTGCATAAGCCAAGCTCGGTGACACAGAGTGTCAGCTGAACTGTGACGCGAGCTTATCAGGTGAGCTCTGACCCGACCCACAGTTTTAGTTGAGCGCTGACACGACTAAATAAATAAATCAGCCGACCTGCATGTGACCCGACCGTGTCCAGTCTCCTTCCTTACACGACCCATCGCACTAACTGAGATAGAGGGTCTCATATTCGAACTAAAGCGACAGCAAAATACGAGCTCTGACACGGCCACATTCCAGCATTGCTTGATAAATATTATATAGTGAAAGTGTTCCGGAGAATCAGACGGCTCGCTGCGACAACGCTATCCGACCGTCACCCTTTTAGTCATTCTATGCTTCACGAACCCCCTTACGAAGCAGGGGGGAGTTCAGCCCCCTCAGGTTCTTCGCGAATATCTTTAAAAAAACGAAGAAACGGCACACCTGTTCATACATATTAACCGCACATATTGTAAAATTTTCAGACCCGGGTCGTTCAAGGTCAGGTCATTAGGTCATGTCAAGTGACCTTACCTAAAAAACGTTCCAATGTTCGCTGTAGCTACACCGACTGAAGGATCGCTTTGATGCTTTCAGCGATTGATAAGAGTAACAATATGTATAAAGCGTATATCTCGCAATTTTAATACCTGTGGCCTAAGATCAGGTCAATTTTGTGACCTCTTCATTATAAGTTAATGGGAGGAAATTGAAATGCGCCTCTTTTGGATGAATGTCGTTCTAAACACGGAACACTCTCAAACAGCCATACACTGAAAAAAATAATGACACCTAAAAGGGGTGTTTTTTGAAGCGTACCAAAAACGCGCAGTTTTCTGGAGTCCGATTACACCCGGAATCAGACACTTTCTAGGGTATTATGACACTGGTTGAGGGTGTATTTTTACACCGTACGTCGTCAAATGATTCCCGGAATCATACGCCTTATGGAATAAAAATACACCCCAAATCAGAGTCATAATACTCTAGGAAGTGTCTGAAGTGTCTGATTCCGGGTGTAATCTGACTCCTGGAAACTGCGCGTTTTTGGTACGCTTCAAAAAACACCCCTTTTAGGTGTCACTTCAGGGAGTAATCGGATCTTGAGGGTGTATTTTGATCCCACACGGTGTATGATTCCGGGAATCATTTGACGACATGTGGTATAAAATACACCCCAAATCAGAGTCATAATACTCTAGGAAGTGTCTGAAGTGTCTGATTCCTGGTGTAATCTGACTCCTGGAAACTGCGCGTTTTTGGTACGCTTCAAAAAACACCCCTTTTAGGTGTCACTTCAGGGAGTAATCGGATCTTGAGGGTGTATTTTGATCCCACACGGTGTATGATTCCGGGAATCATTTGACGACTTGTGGTATAAAATACACCCCAAATCAGAGTCATAATACTCTAGGAAGTGTCTGATTCCATGGGTATGTACTGCTTCTGAAGCTTATATAGGTGCGGGAACCGGGGGGCAGTGCCCCAACTCTGGGGCCGTGGGGGCGGTGCCCCCACAACTTTGAGACGGAATACCGCACTTTTTATGGAAATGTTTTCTTTTTTGTTGAAAAAGTCATGACATGAAAACTAAGTGGCCTAGGCCCGGTGAGAAAACTAGATTTGGGGTCCGGGTACCCCAGGCTGATCTCTATTATGGTGTGCCCTCCAGTCTGAAAGTAGTTCCCGCACCCCTGCAAACAGCAGGTTATATAGGTAAACGTGCCACATCGAATCGAAAATTGCACTCGTGACCCCTCTGTGTGCAGTTACCATATTTAAAAGGGATTATGACATTGCCTGCTGTGATTCGAATGGCATGGCGTGATATTGTGTCGATATGTATGTATGTCTCGATCAATCCGGTGTTTCCTGAGTTATGGGATATCTGCAAGTGTGGCGTTCGATCAATGCTGTACCCCTTATTGATTGCTGCTCAGTTGCTCACCTTACTATGGCAGCTATAGCACTGACATCTACATACCCTGTTCCCTGGTCACATCAGAGCAGGTGTCGCTAGCAGCGTCAGTCGGCGCGGGGCGATAGGGAGCGGGGCTGGCTGGACGGCGCGGCGCGGGGCGGGGTGGGGCTGTCGACACGGGGAGGGGAGGGGGGAGCTGTGCCACCGCACTGAAAGAAAAAAATACCACCCTAGTTAGTTTTTGGGTGGTGGTCATATTTTGAACAGCCTTTTACTTATGGTAAACCAGTTTACGATCCAAATACTAGGCCCAATATCAAAGGAATACTATGCAACTACCAATGCTCATCAAAATACCATGGTCTTAGTACGGTAATATTTTTTCATCATACTACCTTGAAACTAAAGCATAACTAATAAGAAACCAAAGCTCTACTAACGCTAGTATTATCCTGGTACCGCCTACTAAGAAAAATACCACCCTAGTTAGTTTTCGAGTGGTGGTCATATTTTGAACAGCCTCTTACCTATGGTAAACTAACTTACGACCCAAATACTAGGCCTAATATGAATGTAAAACCATGTGAATACCAATGCCAGTAAAAATTACCATGGTATTAACACGGTAACTATATGTCGTCATACCATGCCCAAAAACCCACGTGATACTAGCACGAAACTAGGACTTTACTATCGTTAGCTACTCCCTGGTAATGCTTACTAATGACTTATCATGGTAAAACCATCCTTTTGTCATCTGGATACCAGCTTTGCTTTGCTGGCCAACCATCGTAAAACAATAGTTTACTATGTGACATTTATTGTGATATTACCAGTCGGTTAACAGGA